TATATATATATATTTTATTGTGAAAGACCCGCATTTGGTGGTTTTGTTGACCTCCACCGGTGAATGTTGACAATCACATAGTGGCTTTGGTAAATCTCTGAAATATATGCTCGGTGCTAGCCACTGCCCGGTATACCCTACACTGATGTTTTTTTTTTTTTTTTTTTTTTTTTTTTTTTTTTTTTTTTTGAGGTTCAGTGCTACTGTCCGGTACCCCGAACACTGATGTTTCTCCTAATCTATCCTCAGCAGATATTAAAATATGGAATAAATATTAAAATATCGAATTTATATATAATGATTTCAAGGAATAAATAAATATCAAATTGGATATAACAAATATTTCGGATATTCACCAAAGCGAGATTCTGGGTAATATATCTACATACAAGTTAAAAACTTTCGAAATGAAATTTATTTCTCTGTTTAAAAATAACCCATTATAATAAATTTGTATATTACTATTTTTAATGAATATTGGTAAATAAAGATAAATTACTCCTTTATCTAAATTAGGGATAAATTACTTAATAGATCGTATCGTACAACTTGCATTTTAGCTTCTTTTCTTGAAAGTGGCAACCCTGATCTCAATTAAAGTTTTGTACTTCTTTCAACCGATGAACAGATCAGGCGGTTAAAAACTTAAATTGCCAATTAACGAGGCGGAAGTTATTAAATTAAATGTTATCTTCAGTTGTTACTCCGTAGAAAAATGAATGGATGGTTGACCCGCTACGATCAGTAGACCTGAAAGATACTGTTAGTTATGCTTATTAGTAATGAAATAGTTTAGCGAAAACATGAAATAAATAACTTGAGATCAATAGATAATTAATTATTTAGAAAATAAATTGTACCGTTTCTTTTATAAATATTTTTCCATTACCTTTTGAGTTTGTCCCATTCTAAATTTTTTTTCCATGGGCCGCTGCCCGAAATTTGCCAAGAGTTGCCGATTGATTATTCGGTCACAGACCACGATACGGAAATTTCTATTCCCCTGATATTACTAAAGAATTTCCGTTGTTTTAGAAACTGTTTTTTCTAGCGAATGCATTAATATATTTATACGTTAAAATTAAAAGAATTCTTCACTCCACAATGTTTATATGCTAATGTTTAAAAAGAAACGTAAAATATAAAATAATCAGAAAGTCTCACTCTTAATCGCTGAAAAAACTTATAATAAAATTATATACCTTTTAAAAAGTCAGTTAAGCTTCAGTTCCCTACAGCGAAAATCAAATCACTGAAATTTCATGTTTTGAAGGTTATGAATAAGACATAATTACGCAATTTGCAAGTTTTAAAACACACTACTTAAAAATCTATGGGAAAGTTAGTGAAGTTTAAGAAATATTTCGGGAAACAAGAAATAATTTATCAAACTTTCATTTATTTAAGTTTTCTGTATCGGAATCATTAATTCAAATTTATAACTGCCGAAATCTGCATTTTTTGACGAGGGATTTTCCTAGTGGCGGTAAAATAGCAATTACGTTGATAACTTTTAGCAGAAATTTTATAAATTTTGTCAGTTTTCTTAGAAACTTTGCTATTTCCTTCAATTTAGCTCCATAAATATGCACATTCATTTTCTTTATAATTATAAGCGCAGTGCTAAATAAATAAATAGATTGGATCTATAGTATATATCGTTGCTGTGCCTTATATTTTTACTATTTAAACTAGCACGTTTTTTCATCCCATGCTAAGTTTCAGGAATTAATAAATATATTTTACCTATACACATTTTTGTATTATGTATATGTACACACAGTGTCTTATGTACATGTAAATGTGAATGACCAAAATTGGTGGTTGTTGACTTCCACCGGTGAATGTTGACAATCACATAGTCGCTTTGGTAAATGTTCGAAATACATGCTAGATCTGCTCAAGTGCCACTGCACGGTATACCCTACACTATGTTACTACTATGTTTTAAGGTAAAGTGCCACTGCATGGTATACATTTGCCCGGTATACCCTACATCAATGTTTTGTAAGAGTCAGTGCCACAGCCCAGTTAACCGGTACACTGATGTTTCTCTTAATCTATCCTCAGCATGTACTAAAAACATCGAATAAATATAATAATATCAACGAATAAATAAATATCAAATCTGATATAGCAAATATTTCGGACATTCACCCAAGCGACTTTGTGATTGTTGACATTCACCGGTTAAAGTCGTCATTCTCTTGATTTCAGTCATTCACGGTAACATTTACACATAATTTTTACACTTTTGCTCTGGAAATTATCGTGCCACAGGTCCTTGGTTCGATCTTCGGGCAGGGCAAGGTTGACTCAGCCTTTCTTCCCTTCAGTGGGTCGATAAAATGAGTACCAAGCATGATTGGGAACTAAACATTGGGGGTTCCGCATTGGGCTGTCCACCCAACCGGAACATCTGCTCCTGCATCCCGAAATTTCAAGAAAAGTGAGAATGGGCCTTGCCTCTCTATGGGCTGTCGCGTCACTGAGTTTAGTTTTAGTTTAGTTTAGTATAAGTTTACGCAGTATTATTTTGTTCATATTTGCTCCATAAACTATATGTAACGGCTAAAAGTTTACATTCTTCTATTTGTAGGGTTCTGAAAATGATTTAATTCGAGGCATGCTTAGCAATGGATACCTTAGGGATAACTCAACCATCGCAGCCATCATGAAACACATTTGCTTAGTCTTTATTTTAAGTACTCTTCTCGCAAGTAAGTACATTTTGAATTTTTTACCACTGCGTCAGTTCTCGAAATGGAACTCTGCCATGAAATAGTGCCATATAGTTTCATATGAAATAATGCTGCAAGAGCAACTGGCATAAATTATAGAATATACTCTTGATACCTCAAACATCGATATGTCAAAAACCTTGTTTTGTCAAAAGAATATTTTTCCTCTTGGCATTACATATCTCCATAATGTTAATTTGAGTTCCTATGTCGAAGAATTTCTTCTCAAAATTCTTATTACGTCGAATGTTTTACGAAATAGAAAAGGAATTTTTTCATCAAAATCACAATTGTAATCCAATTATTTTCTATTTAATGCATAAATATTTTCGTCTTTCATTTAAAAAATAAAATTATCGTTACTGTATTTCGATTTCTAGTCAACTATCATTACATGCATATTTATTAGTACTTATTTTTATGTTTCGTGACTTTATTTTTGAGAGTACTTTCCTAGAATATATTTTTCTATTTTTGGAACACATTCTGAACTTACCGTTAGTTCTGAACTTATTATATCGAAAACTCGTTATTTCGAACTTTTTTTAGCGTCTCTTTAATTTTGAGATATCGAGGGTATACTGTATTATCTAAGCAGGTGTTTTTTAAACAAAACAAACAAGATTTGAATGAGCTCTAAATAAGTAACTCAGAGATTGAGTGAGAGGAACACGATACTAAGATTTTTTACAGCTAGATGGCAGTATCAATGATTAGTTTTTCAAGAAGAAAGTTAATAAGCTATAAAGAAGGTTTTTCAAAATTCTTTCGCTTTAAAAAAAAAGAAGAAGAAAAAAGAACCCTCATAGTTTAAGTGCCTTACGCTTGAAGCAAAGCAATTTCAAACCACATATGCTCTCTTACTATAAGGAATTATCTGGCCTTTAGATTGAGCAAATAACAGAAATAATTTAAAATTTATTTAACTTTTTTAAAATGCCAATTTGACAACATTTTTCAGCCCAAATAAACATTATTGCCTTATTCATATTTTTTTGCAAATTTTTATGAGCCGAGATTGTGTAGCATTAGTGTAAGTTATTAAATATACAAAAATTAGACCATAAACGCTTTTCCTGTTCTCCAAACTGTGGCTTTTTTCCATATTGACGCTTAACGCCCTTTTTAGAATAAGCATAAGGAACGCAGGTCAAAGATAGGCTAAACTTGACCTTACAGTCATAAGTAACAGTTGCAAACTGAAATCAGTTATTAAAAATAGCATATTTTATACAAAAAAGCATCATTTCATGATATTAAAGAACCTTCAAATAAAGTGAATAAGAGTGAAAATAATTAAACATTTATTGCAGGGGCTTTTGTGAGAAAATATGAGGGAGGGGGGCTGTAATTTATGTTGTCTTCCATATATTCTATATCATAAATGTTGTTAAAAGGAGCAGTTAAACAATTTCTTGCGTCAAGGAAAAATATAATATTAGGATCATCAATGAGATTACTTATAAGTTCTATATTTAAATCTTTTAAGTGTTTGTTTGGGGCTTCGGTGATTTTTTAAGTGCTTTGGTTTGAAATATTTCAAATGTTTATTTCTTATGTGAGTTGGATAAACAACATCAGGCATGGGCAAAGCGTAGGTTACAATAAGCCTAAGGCATTGTATAGCGAGCAAAATAAAAAACGGGCCACCCTGAATAACTTTTGATCTAATAATCGGATCTTCACGTTCTAAGACTTAATCTTAATGGTTTGAGGGGGTGACCTCAAATATGGTAATTAATTAGAGCAGATGATATTTTTTAAGTTATGAAATCAGACACAAAAAAGTACTTCTTCTGAATAAAAATACCTCTTTTCCGACGGATTCGGATTTCTGACTCCCAAAATACAGGGAGTAGCCTCAATCTGGGAAATTGGGTCCCCATTGTTTCGTCGGGATCCATCCAAAATTTGGATCACCTGTTAATTTTACTTTTTGCGTATTTCGCCATATCTCAAGAACTTTTAAAGCGAATTTAAAAATCGTTGCACGCAATTATAAAATTCTCTTATCAAAAGTTAATTGCATTCAAAAAAATAATTTTTGTTATTTTTTACTGTTTTTTTATTATTTTCTTTCATAGCAGTCATAAAACTTTTGTGTTAAAAGATATATAAATTTTCGCAAAATTTCAAAGTATCTAATTTTTCATGGAAAATATAAATATTGAGCGAAATCGGTTAAATAGTTCCTAAGAAATAAAATTTCAAAAAAAAAAAAAAATAATGGAAATTTAAAACACTTGATTTCTCAGGAACTATTCAATCAATTTCACTCAATATTTGTATTTTGTCATGTAAAATAAGATACTTTAAAATGATGTAAAAAATTATATACCTTGCAATTCACAATTTTTTCGTCGATTGCTAAATAAGATAATAAAAAATAGTAAATTTTCAGTAAAATTTATTTTTTTCATGGATTTATCTTTGGATAAATGGATTTTAAAATAGTGTGCAAAGTTTTTCAATTCGTTTAAAAAGTTCTCGAAATATGGCGAAATACGCAAAGAATAAAATTTACATCAGGGGTTTCATACTTTGGACAGCTCTCCTGATCAAACTATGAGGATCATATCTCCCTGATTGCGGCTACCCCCTGGATTTTGGGGGTCAGAAATCCAAATCAGTCGAAAAAAAGGTATATTTATTCGGAGAAAGTATGTTTTTGTATCTCATTTCGTAACTTAAAATATTGTCTGATCTGATTAATTAGCATATTTGAGCCACTCTCTCAAAGCATTAGGATTGAGTGCTAGAACATGAAGAGTGGTCCGTTCATTTTTTTGCACATCATACATATAGTAAACGTTTCAGATAAAGAATTGGTAAAATCACTGGGTAAAATCATTCTCGTGAAGATTAAAAGTAGGCAGGTATGATATTTTGTTAATTTTTTTCCCCACAAAACATAATAACTACTAGGGAAATTCTTCTACAAAAAGCATTTATGAACAAAAGGAAGGGCAACTAGTGTAACATAAAAATTTTGGCAGCATATTGAACTTCTTCAAACATTCCTATTTCGGAAGAAAAAAAAATTCATAAAAATTTTAACACGCTTAGATCTGAGTCTTCCTTGTTATCAAGTCAGAATTTATCCTGAGAAGTGAAAAAACTGGTAGCAAAAATATTTTATTTGCAGATTGCTATCGGAATAAGTGTACAAGATTCTCGTAACACAACAATAACAAATAATAGATATTTTACTCCTCCCTTGTACATGATATAATTTTATAACCAGATCTTTTTATCGTAAATCACTGCCCTGAACAACGTAGAAATTAATAAACTTCATTGCATTTAAAACTGGTTCGTACGTTTTTTAAAAAAATTAAAAAAAAATGCTACTAGCATTCTAACAATAAATTCTTTTTATTATATATAGCTTTCACTTTAACACTATATATTTAAACTTCATGTTTCAGAACTAGATATCCTTATTTGCAAACATTAAGCATGGTGGTGATTGCGATATAGTTGATATGCATCTCATTTTCTTAGTTTAAGTACCACTTTGAGAATTTTATAAGGACCGTACAAACCCGTTTAATACTTATTGAATGGTACTATTAATTATAATATGTTATTAAAAAGTATTATTTTCAATTAATTCATGTTTATGAATATTCTGAATAAATTTATAATGAGCAGCTACATTACCTTTAAAAATTAAGTACATCAATATTTATTTTTGTAATTAACTATATGTGCCCCACTGCTGTTCGTTGTATGAATGCGGTTGATGCCTTTTATCTTGCCAGTTGCCACTGTGAGGAGTTAGTTGATATCTTTTATCATGATGCTTACCACTGTGAGAATTTGTTTGAGGTCCTTTATCATGATGCATAACACCAGAAGGATGTGGCTGGTGTACTTTTTCATAATGCTCTTTATGAGAACTTGATGGGTGTCCTTTATCATGATGCTTACCACTGTGAGAATTCGTTTGAGGTCCTTTATCATGATGGATAACACCAGAAGGATGTGGCTGAAGTACTTTTTCATATTGCTCTTTATGAGAACTTGATGGGTGTCCTTTATCACTATGTTTATCACTGTAAGAATTTGTTTGAGGTCCTTTATCATGATGCATAACACCGAAAAGATTTGGCTGGTGTATTTTTTCATATTGCTCTTTACGAAAACTTGATAGGTGTCCTTTATCACGATGTTTATCATTGTGAGAATTCGTTTGAGATCCTTTATCATGATGCATAACACCAGAAGGATGTGGCTGGTGTACTTTTTCATAATGCTCTTTATGAGAACTTGATGGGTGTCCTTTATCACGATGTTTATCAGTGTAAGAATTTGTTGGAGGTCCTTTATCATGATGTACAGCACCTAAAATATTTGGCTGGTGTTTTCCGTAATGCTCTTTTTGTGAACTTGATGAGTATCCTCTATCATGATTATTCATACCGTATGAATCTTGTTGGTATCCATGACCATGTTGACTAGTTCCATAACTGACTTGATGTAATTCTTTCCCATGATTATTTTCACCGTGTGAAGTTTTTTTGTATCCTTTATCATACAAATTCCTGTCACTCTTATTCTGTTGATGCCCTTGATTCTTATGGATTTCACCAGAAGAGCCTTGATGGTGTCCTCCACCATATCGGTTTTCACCATGAATGACCCGTTCATTCCTTTTTCCATATTGATTTTCGCTATGAGTTATCTCCAAGTGTCCTTTCACATGGTGATATCCTTTACTATTTTTATGTTCGACATCATCAGACTTTATTGAATACCCTCCACTGTGCACTACTCCGTCAAGAATTGTTTTATATCCCTTACCATCATATCCGCTTGTTTGAGAACCTTTTTGAAATCCTTTACTAACGTGATTTTTGCTTCGGTGGCTCGTTTGGTATTCATCACTATTATGTCCTTTACTGATAGAGCTTGTTTGATGCCTTTTACTATTATGTTTTTCATCACCGCCACTTGGTCGGTATCCCTTATCGTTA